ATAACTTGAGAATAAATCATAAACTTGTTTATACGACTACTTGTATCTTCATATACATTTAGCCGTTTGCCACTTTCATAACTGCAATAAACCCTATACTTTACTTAAGCATAAAACGGCATTCGATATCCATCATCTAACATAGTTTCGGGTGTAACAGTACCGCATCCGGCACTTTCAGGATCTTAGTTATCTTTATCAGTCATTTAGAGATTATGGCAATAATAAAATCATTCTTATTATTACATTTTTTATCATACAAAACATAAATTTAACCTAGTTTATATTTTATTCACAACTGATAACACTCAGTGATGGCAAAATGACAAATATGACTTTTTTATGACAAATAAATGACACGTAAATTTTGTAAAAGTACAATAAAATTATATCGATAATATTTTTGACAAAAATTTGACATTCATTTAACTCAATAATTTCTGTTAAATTTCTATCACTGGATAACACAATAAATGATGGTGATTATATAAATTAAGAACATTGTGTACAGTACATCCTTCTTCGATCGGTAAAAGTACATTCATTGCAGCTAAAGACACATTGACCACAAGTAAAGTTACTATAAAAGTAACCAATTTTTAGGGAATTAGGTTGATTAATGCATGGAAGTTCGTCTTCCGTAAGTCTATCTTCCGTAATTGAACAACTAACGGAAGCAAGTCCATTCGTGTCAGTAAACTTAACACATTCAGTAGATGCATTGCATTGAGGAACCGAATTTCCATAATTGATAAGAGTTTTTTCACAGCTTATACGTGGTGGAGAATATTCTTGAGGACATTGACTTAAAACAGCTTCCAAAAACATCCGAGAACGAACAATTACAGTAAAAATAAAAAAAAAAAAATGTTGAGAAAATGAGATATCAATAAAAAAATTGGTAATGGTAACTAGTGATAGGAATCGAAGTCGACTAAAGTTGAGACTAAATTTTGTTAGTAGGCTATAAATCAACTAAAAATAGTAATTACAATCATTCAAAATTTTCCAAAATATATTATAAATGAACATAAATTACGAGCGTGGTTGAGCAAATTTCTTGAGAAATATCCAAAATATACCCACAGTAACATATAAACTAATTTTTTGATTAGTTGACTAAAACAACTCTAATCAATTCCTATTACTATTTAAAAAAATATATACATTATACGGCTAGTTGGCTAATTATAAAATTAGTCGACTGACTAGTCAACTAAAAATTTTAGTCGAATCCTATCACTAATGATAACCTAAAAAATTATACTTACTTTTAAATATAAATTTGCGTGTCAAAAATTCTTGGGTTAAAGGAAAAATGAATGGTATTTATAATAATCACAATTCAAAGAAACTTGAGTACATTTCATAAACACTGGTAAATATATACACATGTTTAAAGAACCTGTAATATTTTCGTAAAAAAATATCTACGTACGTATGTACTGTACTGTATGCATATTTTCGTTTTCTCAATTTGCGTAACGAATTTACAATTATCTGTTGTATTAAAATCTCCTAAATGGGACCATATACAAAAACATTAGACAAGTGTGTATTTAGGAGTTCGCCATGGCGACCCAAAAGTACGGGTCACATGATCTGAACCATCGCCACAGTGCTGCAGTGGGGTGTTCGATCAGATCTATGCAGATCAGATTTATCGCTGTACGTACAGTACATATCTGTAATTTAGATTTTAAACTTAAAACTATATTTCTGTAAATTACACATTGACTAGTTTGAAAATTTTTACTCGATTGCTCGCAGAACTTATATTTTAAGTTAATAAAGTTTTTTAAAAAATTTTTTATTTAATTTATTGAAATAATCTTTGTCGCCAGCGGTGACTGTACCCAGATTTTGTTTTATAGTTGTATTGTCTAAATGCATACTGTCTAATTGCATAAAAAAAAGGGGAAATTACACATCGGGGCCCAAATTTGAAAATAATTATGAATGAGGGCCCAACTTAAAAATATTTATTTATAAAGGCC